CCCCAAAACCCCAAAACCCCAAAACCCCAAAACCCCAATTATTAATAAAAATTTGAACTTAAAATTTGAAAATGGATAAGTATAGGAAAATAAAGAGAATTGGAATTGGATCCTTTGGCCAAGCCCTCCTAGTCCAAAGCATTGTAGATAGGAAATGCTATGTAATGAAGGTCATAAATGTTGGAAACATGGACAAAAAGCAAAAACAAGATGCACTCAATGAGGTACGCGTGCTCAAAGCCATGAGACATCCATACATCATTACTTACCGGGAATCGTTCATGGACAAAAAGTTTCTCTGCATTGTCATGGATTATGCTGATGGTGGTGATATGTACAAATAAAATTGAATTCCAAAAGAATGTGTCCAAGCTCATGCCCGAGAACCAACTCTTAGATTGGTTTGTCCAAATGGCATTAGCAATTAAGCATATTCACGATAACAAAATTTTGCATAGAGATTTAAAAACTCAAAATATATTTATGACATCAAATCAGGAAATCAAGATAGGTGATTTTGGTATTGCGAGAGTATTGCAGCATACCTATGACTGTGCCAAGACAGCAATTGGAACTCCTTACTATCTCTCACCAGAGATCTGACAGGAAATGCCATATAATCAAAAATCTGATGTGTGGAGTCTTGGTTGTATTCTATATGAAATGGTTACTTTAAGGCATGCGTTTGATTCGAATAGCATGAAAGGACTTGTCTTAAAAATCCTTAGAGGTACATACCCTGAGATCCCTTCGCACTACTCACAAGACCTCAAAGACTTGATTTCAGAAATGTTGATAAAAGATCCTGCGAGGAGACCATCAATCCGGAAAGTTGTAGAAAAGCCGTTCCTCTCCTCTCGAATTTCCACATTGCTCTCAAACACAATCACTAAGCACGAGTTTCTCCAAGATGATGAGGACGAAGGAAAGACAGCCAAGAAAAGCTCCAAGAAGATCCTCAGGAAGAAGCTCCCTCACCCTGAAAGCGCCTTCGGTAAGAGATCTGAAGAGGAGAAAAGCGAGGTCTCCATCATGGAAGGAAAGGAGAAAATGCTTCTAGTCAAAGACTCTGAGAAGAAGAGTCAAGGATTTAAGAGTTACCTCAAATATAAAGCTTCACAAAAATCTTCCAAAATAGACAAGTACGAGGACTCTAAAGACTCCTCAGACGAACATAAAGGTACATTTGTCCTCTAATCTTTTTAGAAATAGATGAAGGATATGAAGAGCCAATCAATGAGAGAACGATACAGAAATTCTTGCAAAATTTACCAGGAGTCCAAGCCACTGATTCTCAGACCTACAGAATCGAAGCTCTAAGGGTCTACCTTGAGGATAACCTTGGAGAGACAACCTTCATAGCAGCCTATAAGCATTACATAAATGTTTCTGAATTTAATGAAGATGTCGACTCTGAAATCGAAACAATTTTGGGTAAGAAAAAGATGCAGTTCTTCCCTCTGATCTATCAGCTTATTGTCTGTGAAGATTCCCTAAAGGATTAAGGTTAGCTAATTTCCTGTAAATTTCACATAAAAATTAAACCAGTTGTGACCTAGAAATCGTGATGGTAATGGAATATTCTGAAATTCATTCAATTTTCTACAGAATACTCGGGGTTTTGGGGTTTTGGGGTTTTGGGGTTTTGGGG